TGTGGGAGGGTCCCGTCCTTTCCCCTCCTCCCCCCGCCCTCGTTGGTTCCGCCCGCGTCGGTGCCCGGCACAGCCGCGTTGGTTCGTTCCGCCCCTCCCCGTCCCCGGCGCTTGGTTCAGCCCGAGCCCACCGCCCGGACGCCCACAGCGGCCGCCCCAGCCCCGCTCCTCACCCAGTGACATGTCGATCTTCTCCAGGCTCTCTCCGCCGCCGTGCCGGGCCCCCGCCGCGGCCGAGGAGCCCGGGAGCTGTGCTGCAGCCCCGAACGCGTTCATGGCCGCCTCCCTCAGACCGGGCCGCCCCCCGCCGGGCCCGCGCATGCGCAGCAGCACCGCCCAGCCCCGGGCACAGACGCCCGCGCCGAGGAGCGGCTCAGCCCCGCTCTGGCACCGCGCCTCCTGGCGGCCGGGAGGAGCAGGTACAGCGGGCGGGGGGCGATGCCGGGGGGCGATGCCGGGGGGCGATGCCGGGGGGCGATGCCGGGGGGCGATGCCGGGGGCGCGGGGACCCGCTGGGTGCTGGCGGCCGCTTCCAGAAGCGGCTTGTCCAGGGACAGTGTCCTTGAGAGGAGAGGACCCGGGGAAAGGCGGGGGGCGCTGGGAAGCAGAGCTGCAGGCAGCGTGCGGGGTGCAGGGGGCTGGGGACAGGGAAGTTGTGCTGTAGGGCACGGAATCCTGGGCTGGCTGCAGACCTGATGGGTGCTGAGAGGGGCCACGGGGGTGACTGGAAGCCTGGAGCACCTCTCCTATGGAGACCGGCTGAGGGATTTGGGGATTTTCAGCCTGGAGAAGAGAAGGCTCCAGGAGGTCTCATTACAGACTTCCAGTACTTCAAGGGGCCTGTAGGAAAGATGGGGACAGATTTTTCAGCAGGTTTTTTTGCAATAGGACAAGAGGTGATGCTTTAAACTGAAAGAGGGTCGATTTCGACTGGATATAAGGAAGAATTTTTTTACAGTGAGAGTGGTAGAACACTGGCACAGATTACCCAGGGGGGTGGTGGATGCCTTATCCGTGGAAGCATTCAAGGTCAGGCTGGATGGGGCTCTGAGCAGCCTGATCTAGTTGAAAATGTCGCTGCTCATGGAAGGGTGGTCAGATCACATCATCTCTAAATGTCCCCTCCAATCCAACCATTCTGTGTTGCAGGATAAGGAAGGGTGTTCAGCTGAGAAGCTGACTGTGAGATGCCTTTGCCTATGACCCCCCATGCAATTGAGAGAAATAATCTGTTCTGTGAACAGCAAAACCAATGCAGGGTAGTTTTGAGCAGAATTATGTTTTCAAAAGTCAAACAGCTGAGTTCAAACTAGGTTCCTATTTCAAAATACCATGTAAAGCTTCAAATTACTATTTAAACCCAGAACACTGTGTCCATAGATATGTTGTTCTCTTGGGTTCTTTTCAGAGTTGTTATCTTCACCAGGTTTTGGACAGACTCGTGATTGAGAAACTCAGAAGAGAAATTGTTTTTTGAAACAAGGAATCTAGCAAAGCCTTTCCCTCCTCCCTGTATATTTGCATTCTTTGGAGTTCTGGGTATTGGTAGGTCAGCAGTACACAGGTGCCTAGTTGGCAGTTGGCTGCTGCTGAACAAGTTACATGTAATAGAGCATTTTTACACAACAGCACTTTCTACATTTGATACTCTATTAAAGGATAGTAATTATCTCTGATATCTCTACATCTTGCTCGTGGTTGGTTGAAATTGGTCACTGAGTTCCAGAGACAGAAAAGGAGGGAGCAGACTGACAAGGTGATCACAGAGGACACACTTCCTTCAGAAGCCAGGCAGTAAATGCTGAAAGGAAAACCCACATCCTTTTCCCCTGCTCACAACGTTCACCTGGCATTACTGTCCACATCTCCCTGAGTTTTCTCTGGGACCTGTGCTGAGGCTGCCATCTGAAAGGTGCCTTCCTTCACCATAACCAAAGGATAGCTTGTTTTAGGGTCTGCCTGCTTGCCTCTGGAGGGGGAGCTCCATACCAAGACTGCGGGGACTACTACAAATGCCCCTGGGTAGGGATAATTATTTCCATACATGACCTTGCACACACCTTCCACATTTCTTTAATTACCCACATATTCCATATGCGCATTTGCTAAAATAAACATTCTGTGGCAAGTACAATATCCTGAGTACCTGACACACAACGACCTGTGGTGTGTGTAATCCTTGTCACAGTTCTGTCCTGCTGTGCTGGGAGCTACCTGTACTGAAATACTGTGCAGGCCTTAAGAATGGGAGATCTTTCTAGCACTGTTACTGTGAAAGGCAAGAATAAGAGGAGTGAGTTGAGGCTTTCTGTCCTCAGCTGTGTCCTATACTACAGACTATTGACAAAGCCTTGCTCTCTACATTTACACTCTTTATCCATCTCTTTTTAAATAGGGCAAAAAATGTGTTTCTGGATGTTCCTCTTGCTGCTTCCTACCGTCTAGAAGAGAATGGCTCAGTTACTGTCACAGGACACCTCCAGCTAGTGAGAGATTTTCCCTTCAGGCAGGAGAAACTCATGACCACAGTGCTGGAGGCTGACAGTTCCACCCTGTTTTCTTCTCTGTGTTCTCCATGGGCAGCAGAAGTTCAGACATGGAGTTTTGGAGCCACAGATTTAAAAATTTTGATAACATATTCCCCCAGGGGAGATTGGATGACAAGTGATTGATGACGAGTAGGAGGTTCTTATAATCAGACTATGTTTCTAAAGCAAATATGCTATTGCCAGATAACCAAGAATTACTAAAAATAGAGGTGCCAAAAGTATTTTAAAAAAAGTATTAAGTCAAATTCCCATGAGGCTGTAGGGTCCAGCTCCATCTGGGGACTGTGTCACACCAATAAACAAACGCTGTTTACCCCAAACAAACACACAAACTGCAAAGGTGGCAGATGCTACTTGTCCTCGTGACAAGTGGAAATCTGACAAAATCCAGATTTTACCACATCCATGAGTTGTGTTTATTATACCAACAGGATACCAGCTGTCTGCTGCTCAGCACAACAGAAAACCAGGCACAAGTTGTGATCCTGAAGAGCGTTTTCTTTCTGTGTTCAAAAAGCCTGGGGATCACAAAGGCAACCATGCAAACATCAGCTCTTGTTTTGCTGTGTGGCTCTTGGGAGTGTGTCAGCATCAAGCCAAGTGACAAAGCTTCCACGTGGCACTGAGAGCTATAAAGAACCAATATTTTAACTGTATGAAGTCCAGTATGACTCAGCTGTGCTGAGTGCGTAACACTGTGTGTCTAAAGCACCCACAGGCTGTAGTAAATTTTGGGGCTGGTTCTTTCCTGGGCTTTTCCCACACCTTTCCTAAGCACCAGTTGTCTCCTCACAAAAATGAGACCTCATGGCTTGTCTGCCCAAGTAACCCCTGCTGTTTCAGTAGGAGGAATTGCAGAGGAATTGTGGAGGAATTGCAGAGATTTTACCTGCTGAACACACAGAAATTCCCAGGATGAAGTGTTAAAATTACCAAGCAGAAACAGCACCCAAAGGATCAAATGCTAGGTGTACTCAAAGATTTAAAGCCAGAGGGGGACTGTCTAGTCCAAGCTCAATGCTGTGAGCTGTGGAATATCACACATGCTTTGATCCTGTATTTATAGATATATATAACATACCTTTACAATTGTTGATCTCTACTGCCACTCCTTAAATTTTACACTGGAGGATTAATGTCCAGTTAAACCTCAGTGCAGACCCAGAAGCTCACGTCTGTGTGTGACCACAAGCTTTTTATTTATATTTTTTTATATGCTCTCTAAATTGATGTGGGTATTGACAGGAGTTAAGTAAACAATGACTATAAGTAATGTATACAAAACAACATAATGAAGCAGAGGAAATGGAGATTTTTCTCCTGGAGAAATTTAAAGTCACCATTGAGCAACATGCAGGCTATTTCTAACTTGTGGAGCTGGGATAATCTTGTAATTCCTGATGGAGGAGCTAAATTAGATCTGTTAGCTTTATCTGCATGCTTAATTTCACCAGACATTACCATCTAACAATCACAATAGTCTGGATGACTTGAGTTCCTCCAGTGTTTACTGTGAGAGTCAACACAGTCTGATGGCCTGAGACCTAACATGCCATGTACAGGCAGTGTTTTCAATCAGTGCAGTAGGCTCCATGAAAGGAAATTTCTGCCTGACGACTGGATTCAAGTTGTTTCGCACTTCTGTACAATTACGATGCATGAGGAGTCCTGATCTCTTCATTAAACACCTTCTGAAAAATACATTATCGTTGTTGTTATCAAGAACAGCAGTATAGAACCTTGTACCCCCATGTGCTGCAGAAGTACTGTACTGGTAAAATAAACCACATAGAAAATGTCAGGTCAAGAGGTGCTTTTTCATGTATGCAGCGTATAGTTATCATTTCAAGTAACAGTTATAGGGAATTTCCATTGTACAAATGCCTGGCTTTGGTTTCTGAGGCATCAGACAACTGAGACGTATATAGGTTTTATCTCCAATAATAATTTGTCATTGACTATTCTCAGTCGAAAGACAGCAGCATCACTTTTTCCTTCTTGAAGTTTCATTTCACTGCATTTCGGCGGAAGGCACATCTTATTCTGTTGCAATTTTCACATCCTTCTTGCAGTGGGCGATAGAACAGAACCCTCTTTCCATTTCTGTCTCTGCAGGTGTGATCAGTGCATGAGCTGTCGCCCAGGGACACGTTGTTTGTTTGCTTTTTTCCCCTTGCCATCGCATTTTCCTCATCACGTCCAAGTCGGGATTTAGTGACAATTATCTCAACAATCACTGTGCTTTTTCCCAGCGCTTTGAAGCCGGGGGGACCCCGAAAACTCCCGGGCGGGGGAGGCTGCAGGGGACTGCCCGTCATGGCGGCGGTGCACGCCGGGAGCTGTAGTCCGCCGCGGTACTGCGTGCGCCGGCGAGGCGCGGTGCACGCCGGGAGCTGTAGTCCGTGGGTGCGGCGGGGCGGGGCGGGCGCTTGCCCCTCCCGAGTGACGGCGTCGCGGTGACGGCGGCGGGGCCGCGCGCGCCCGGGATGGAGATCAGGCCCCACGCGGGGCACGCGGAGAGTCGGTGGGGCCGCGCGCGGCGGGACACGCGCGGGAGGGGCGGAGCGAGTGCCCAGGGCACGGCCCGCAGGGGCGTTCGATGGAGGCTGGCACCGGGCGGGTGTGGTGCGCAGGGGCAGCGCCGGGGTGGGGTGGGGCAGCGTGTGTGCTCCCGGGAGCGGCAGGGTCCCGTGTGTGCTCCCGGGAGCGGCAGGGTCCCGTGTGTGCTCCCGGGAGCGGCAGGGTCCCGTGTGTGTCCCCGGGAGCGGCAGGGTCCCGTGTGTGCC